GAGAGTGCAGCTACGGGCTTTAGTGGAGTGACCCGGTAGTTAACGAATGTTGGTTAACTAGATTAAAGAGTTTAAGCGGTTAATCTCGGATCGTTGGAGCTCATAATCTGTAGGTCCATAAGGTCCCTTGGCTAGCTCATATAGGAATAAATTTGGAATAATTTGAAGAAATAATTCGAATCATACGAATTAGGTTAATCATATGAGATATGATTAAGTAATTGATATATGATATCAATTTGAGAAATTTGGACAAAATATTTAAATAGGATTTAAATATTAAAATTATAAATGTGGATTCATAATCGGAGGCATGGATTTCATCAAACATCGGATTTTGGAAAAAGTCAAATAGTTGACTTTGACCAGAGAAAGTCAAAGGTTGACTAAAGTAGATTAAAATAATGTTTTTAACMAAGTTGGTGRAAAATTCCAYTAACTTGTTGAGTGRAACATTTAAATAATCTCAAAAATCCACTTTTTGACACTTAGCCATGCATGCATAAGTGGAATGTRTGTTRTAARCTTTTGGTGAAYTTAGACATGCATTTTGACACTTAGYCATGCCATGCATGAGTGGAATGTGTGTTGTAAGCTTTTGGTGAACTTAGACATGCATTTTGACACTTAGTCATGCCATGCATAAGTGGAATATGTGTTGTAAGCTTTTGGTGAACTTTGACATGCAAGAGTTGCATGTAATTTGCTTATTTAAGAAGGCCTTTGTTCAAAAATTAAAGGGCTTGGAACCTTTGACTTTTTTTTCCAAAAAAAAAGCTTACATAACTCTTTTTAGCTCCACTTTTCTCTAAATTTTTCCTTCTCTAAAAAGAGTCCCACCACTCTATTCCAAGCCTTGAGAATAGCTAGGAAGATCTCTTGGTTGTTCTTCATTGGAGCTATTTGAAGATTTTTGAAAAGCTACAAAGGTTTGTATTTTTCTCTACTTATCTCTAAGCATCATAATGTATGATCATGCATGTTTAATCCTAGGTTGTATTATGCATCTAGATTGTTATTTCGATTCTTGCTCACTTCCGCTGCGCATGTATGTATATTATCCATCAAAATTGTCGTTGTAAACTTCTTCGTGACATGTATCGAATGTCATTATTTAATGTTGCATGACATTTTTAAGTTGTCATTATACAATTTTTCGTGATAGTTAAAACTAACAATATTGACTGTTAAAACTATCACTATAAAAGTTTTCGTGACAATTATAAATAGTCGTTGTTAAGTTTTTCTTGACGTTTGTAAACAGTTGTTAAAAAAAATTCATGTCAATTTTGAACTGTCGTTAAAAACTACTTCATGACAATTATAAACGTTCGTTACAAAATAATTTGAGACATTTATAAACTGTCGTCTTTAGGTCTTTATTGACACGAGGATAAAATATTTGATTGTTTTAGTGACACTTATAAATCGTAATTAAATGACTTTTTGTGACATTTATTAATTGTGATGGAAAATCTATTTCTGACAAAGTTTAACTGTAGTTGTAAATGCATTGATGACGATTTTCAAAATTGTCATCTTCTCCTATTTCTTGATGCCTTAATAGATGACAATTGGATAACTGACATGAATTATGTTAATGACAGAGTTTAGATGACAATTGTTGTTTTGTCCTCATTTATATTCATTACCATTTGTTGGGCTTTGTGCAAATTTCCAAGCCGACAGTGAGGGTGAGTGTTGAGATATCTCATATATGAATTAGGTTTAGATAATTTATAGTAGTTGTCCCTATTTGTCTATTCGTTTTGAAAAATGGGCAAATGGTTTTTGCCAATAAAAAATATCTATTTGTTCACTCATCTGTTCATTGCATGTGTTCATATATTCATCGTATTTGTTTATTTGCTCACAGTATTTATTCATTTGCTCACCGTAGTTGTCCATCTATTCACCTTGTTTGTTCATTTGTTCATCGTATTTTTTGATGTATTCACTATATTTGTTCATTTGTTCATTCCAGCCGAGTTCTTAGTATTTTTATTTCTAATTATATTTTGTTTATTTACTCAACCCATCATGAGCTTAATAAAAATCAATACAATTATTATTATTATTTTTTTAAAACCAGTCTCACATCTCAAAGTCTTAACTAACAAGATCTCTCACAAAAGTAAATTTACAAGTTTATCACTAAACTAATTTAATCTCCCAACTAATTTAACCTCTCTCATACGAATAAAGGATGACTTTGAACTTTAGAGAGAGAGGTTTGTCAATGGAGCTGCTCAAGAAGAATTTTCAACAATGGAGATATAAAGTTTAGCAAAAGAGGTTTGTCAATGGAGCTTCGATGAGAATTTTTCAACAATGGAAGATGTAAAATTTAGCGAAATGGTAGCCGAAAAATTATGGCCGTTAGAGGACTTAATCACAGCTATCGAAGCTTAGGCCTATTAAGGAACTCTTAAAAGTAATTGGAAATGAAAGAAGTAGTTCATGTCTTTTATAAATCATTGTGTTGTGAAAAATGCAGCCTACACTTAAAAGGATTAGATAAAATAATCTAAAACTTCTAAGTAACAAGAACGATAATAATAAAGATTAGGGAGAAAAAAATTAAACGTCGGATTTATATTGGTTCACCCAGTGTGGGCTACGTCCAGTTCTTTGCTACCGTTGCAGGTTCTACTAAAATTTCAAGAAGAATCTCCCAAGAGTTTACAAGCCCCTTACAATGATTTCTCTCAGTTTTCCCTCGCATAGAAAAACACTCACGGATCACTCTACAAGCTTTTCAAACTGTCGAACGGATACACAAGTATTTAGCTCTCAAACTCTTTCTTCTTGGAGAATTTCTCACGGCTCTCTATTTGTACACTCCAATCAAATGGTCCATCTATCTCTATTTATAATAGATGGTATGACAAAAACTAAAAGGGAATGAGAAAATAAAAAAGCTCAAACTAAATAAGACAAAGAAAAATTTAAATGGACATTTTCCTTGTAGGAAAAATATTTTCTCTTTGATTTGGCTCCATAATCCCAACACATTGTTAGGTCCCTTATGTTTTCAACGTGAAATCGTTATCATGTCCCCTCAAGATGGTGCCTCTTTTGGGTTCACCAATCTTGGTCGAACCCCATTTTTGGACCAGATCATTGTTTGTGCTCTAGAGCTCTAATACTATATCAATATTCATGAGGTTTCATTTAAACACTAATTGGTAATGAGAGAAATAGTCATGTCGATTATAAATCTTTATTAGATTCTTTATCCTTTCAAAATGAGATCCTTAATATAAGACCTTCATAAAACGAGTAAGATACCTTAACCGGTAAGCTATACTCATGTTGGTACTTTTAGCTAATTATCAAATATAAGATGATGTGGCTTTAAATATGGTTATTAAGTTGTCTACTTGGATATATATTGAAGCCATAATTTAAGACAAGTACTCGGTGAGATAATTATCCAAAATTGAATTATATAGTAAGATCAAAATGACTATTTTTAAAAGTTTTTGTTGGTTGCAAACATGAGTTTAACTCAGCGGTAACTAGAACGTGTCATGATCAGGAGGTCATGAGTTTGAATTTCCTACCCAACTTATTGTACTAAAAGAAAATATTTTGGTCGCTAAAATATGAGATATTTAAAGCTTAGTCAACTATATTTTAAAAGTTCTAAAAATTTAGAGAAAAAAATGAACTAATAATTTAATAACAAAATTTTATGGTATCTTTTGTCCACAAATATAATGCATTGTAATTCGTTACACAAGTTTATATTTGGGTCTTTTTTTTTTCCAATTTAAGTATACATAAATATAGTTCTAACTTATCAATGTCTTACCTATGTTAGTAAAGGTTGGAGGTCTGAAACCACTCACTCTTATTGAACTAAAAAAAGTATTATAATTCATGTAAGCAGCAATTCTCGCCCATAATTACTAGTCATTATTAAATTAAATAACATTACGATTTATAGTGGTTGAATTTTGTCGCAATTTTTTTTCAAATGCGAATAATGTTATATCTGCCTGTTGAGCTCTGTAACAAGTGCTCGTTATTAACTGAACAATATCGTAACCAACACATCGCTTGGACTCAAGAACTCATGGCAGGTGATACCATCGAATCTCATTTCTCTAAGCAAAATTTCAACTAATTTTTTAATCTAGTAAAAAAGTTGGTTGGCATGGATAAATGTTCCTATATAAAATGGTCAAAATTATCGGCCTAAGTGTTAAAAACGATATAAATATTATTGTGTAAAAAATCATACAACATATGAAATTTAGGTCGAAGTTTTAAAGAATTAAAATTTTAAATGAAAGGAAACCATTCATATTTTTTAAGTTCTTGCATGATTCCATATGGTTAAATAAATATCGATGTTATTGAAAATTTAGATTTTTCAATTTTATAGAAATATTGATAAAATGAAAAAAAAAATCAAGTGCCATTATTAAATATTTCAAAAAAAAGAAAATCATAGAAATGAAAAAATTTATGAAAAATATGTAAATTAAATTAGCAAATAAGCACTCCACCCTTTCTAAATAAGTTTAAAATTATTAGTATTAATATGATATCCGTATTTTTAAAGTTTTATCGCAAAATTATAGAAACGTCTGTTCACTCGTTATGTCAATATGGACACCATAGACCTATGGAAATATTGAGTAAAATTTAACACCCTAATTTTAGATTCAATTCGTAAATGAAGATTTGGCTTAGGTTTTATGGTTGCTAACAATGTATATAGAAAATGAACAACAAATAAGCATAAGTAGAAAAGATTAAAAGACTCCACACTTGTTATTCCTTAACAGAAATTGGAACGACAAAGCACACATACAGAGCATGCATTCACATAAACATGCCTTATTTGCACACCAACGAACACATTAAGGATTAAACTCGAAACACACAACATAATACAATATTGTTCATGTGTTGTAGTTCTTCAAAGTTAGATTGTAGCGTAATTTTCAGACGTAGCTGAAATATTCTGTTTGTTCAGCAGCAGCTGGATGTTACCTTTTACATATGGTGAATTAACGTTGGATACAACAACTGGAGTACCTGTCGCGTTTTCAAGTGTAAAGTTAACCTTAAAGTTTCCAGTTGTCGGGTCTGCTTGCTTAACTAGTTTGGAGAGTTTGCTCCAATTATTTTCCAATGACAGAACTTCTGCAGTTGGAATACTGTTGTATTTAACATCTTTCTGAATCTTTTGAAATCTTGCAGCCTCGGAAATAGTCTGAATTACGACGACCATTGCCTTCGCAACATCGCTCGGCTTGTAACTGTAGCCGGGGCAGTTGTAGCCGTACAACGTTGGAATGTAGACATAGTTGAGGTCTACGAGTCCAAGTTTAAGACTTTGTCGTCTTCCTCCAGCTCCTGCAAGTTGTCCGTAACTGCCATCGAATGAAAGTGTTTGCTGCTTGGAATCGGTGAATACAAATTTCTTAGCTTCAGTGGCAACAGAGTCGTTGAAAAAGTGGGATAAGTTACACTCTGTGGTGTAAAATCCCAGAACATAAACGTTCGTTACATCTATAGCAAGCTGGATGGTTTGATTGTATGAATTTGTAAGATGGATTCGTGTGTAGCGACTTGAACCTGTAACATTGACAGGCAGTAGAATTATATCGAACACTGTCTCTTTGTATGGAAGATCGGCTCTATAAGCATTGAGGAAAGTTGCATAGGATGTTTTGGTAACACCGGACAAATTGAAGCTAACATCGCCCTCGACCGTAGGAGCTGCAAGGAAGACCGCGAGAATTAGCAAACAAAACACTAACAATTTGGTCATCTTTTCAAAACTTAAAAGATCAGTTTGGATTGGATGCCATGGAACATCACAAGGCTATGCCTTTTATAGGCACCATTTTCACAACATTTTACAAATATATATTTTGTTAAATATAACCTTACATAAAAAGTTTTAAAATGATAGTGCAGTCTAGATTATATTAATATTAAAATATTATTTTGGTCCAGGTAAAAAATACATGGATACAAACATTAGTTTAATGTAATTACTTTTTTTAAGAAAGAAAAAAAACTATGTACTTTTACCTTTGGTTCAATTTAATTCCCGTAATAACAAAAAATACATAGATATAAACATTTAGTTTCATGTAATTACTTTTTTAAAAGAAAAAAACTAGGTGGTTGAAGCTTTAGATACCTATTTTTTTAAATATAATTAATTTCACTTCAAGTGATATCTATATTTGTCTAAATATATATATATATATTTTTAAATATACATTACATAAGAAGTTTCAAAAGTGATTAAAATATTACTTTGGTCCATGTACTCTTAGATT